TGACATCCCACTCCTAATCCATAGGGTTCAATATGACACTTTGCAGCTATAACAGCTTCAACTCTTCTGGGAAGGCTGTCCACAAAGTTTAGAAGTGTGTTTATGGAAATTTTTGACCATTCTTCCAGAAGCACATTTGTGAGGTCACATACTGATGTTGGACAAGAAGGCCTGGCTCCAGTCTCTGCTCTAATTCATCCCAAAGGTGGTCTATTGGGTTGAGGTCTGGACTCTTTGCAGGCCAGTCAAGTTCATCCACAACAGACTCTGTGTCATCCATGTCTTTATGGACCTTGCTTTGTGCACTGGTGCACAGTCATGTTGGAAGAGGAAGGGGCCAGCTCCAAATTGTTCCCACAAAGTTGGGAGTATGGAATTGTCCAAAATGTTTTGGTATCTGAAGCATTCAGAGTTCCTTTCACTGGAACTAGGAGGCAAGCACAGCTCCTGAAAAACAACCCCACACCCTAATCCCCCCTCCACCAAACTTTACACTTGGCACAATACAGTCAGACAAGTACCGTTCTCCTGGCACCCGCCAAACACAGACTCGTCCATCAGATTGCCAGATGGAGAAGCACGATTTGTCACTCCAGAGAACGCGTCTCCACTGCTCTAGAGTCCAGTGGTGGAATGCTTTACACCACTGCATCCAACGCTTTGCATTGCACTTGGTGATGTATGGCTTGGATGCCGCTGCTCGGCCATGGAAACCCCATGAAGCTCTCTGTGCACTATTCTTGAGCTAATCTGAAGGCCACATGACATTTGGAGGTCTGTAGCGATTGACTCTGCCGAAAGTTGGTGATCTAAATATAGTTTTATTTTAATTACTAAATTACATATAATATTGTATAATATAAAATTGTTTTTTCTCTATAAATAGTTTAAAGTGACCACCCAATAAGTCTGTTCTGATGTAAATCAATACATATGATGCTACATAAAGTATTAATGGGTAGAAATAAGTATATAGTCTATACTATATATTATGCCAATAGTCCTATTCTAACATTGTAACATTTTCCGCTTTGAATAAAACATATTTGCCTCCATCTTGGTTCTCCTTGACCTCTCGGCGGCTTTCGATACCATCGACCATGGTATCCTTCTGCGA